ATTCGAATCCTCTCAATGAGAGGATTCGAATGGTATAGAAATTGTTCGGATCCGATCATAGGATCACGATATATTTATATTTTTTACAATTCGCCAAATTACCCCTTTTTACCTTATAGCGAACTTGGTCAGATCGATAAAATTGTGATACAACGTCTGCTGAACAGAGCAGTCTACCTCCCTGGGCTGAGATTTGATACAGCGTCTGCTGAACAGGGCAATCTACCCCCCTGGGCTCAGATCCGATACGATGTCTGCTAAAGAAAGCAGTCTATCCCCCTTCTCGTGATAAATCACTCGAAGCCAGACATTCCGGTCGGCCGAATATTTCTTTTTTCAAATATATTCAAAAAAAGCCAAAATATTTTGTTGGTGGTAAGTTGGGAGATCTTTCAAAGCTTCGGGGGTAAAATCCTTAAAAGAACACAAATCAGAATAGCTATAGGAAGTATTTAAGGAATGTGGATAGTCAGGGAAATCCGGATAATCGTCTTCCCAGTCTGGTTCATAAATGTTGTATGATGGGGTGGAGGAGACTTTCGAGGGGATCTCTTTTTTGGTTAGAGGGGGCGAGGAGTGTTGAGACTCTTGGCAAGATTGTGGAGCGTTTCCAGCTTGAAGGGAGGGCGAGAGAGCTCTCAATGCCTCTTTATTAGATTTCTCGTATAAACTGCAAGTTTCGGCTATATTTCGAATTACATCTATTGAGAGGGAAGTAATATCAGAAACTAAGAATGGTATATCTCTCATCTTTGTAACGCTTAGTCCTCTACAAAGCTCGAATATCTTAAAAGCTTTATTAATTTTCTGCTGAACGGATTTGAGTGAAAAGTTGAAGCTAGAAGCAAAATCGCGAATCATCTGAATCTTAGCTTTTCTATATCTGAGCCCCCCCTCCATCAGCCCCATGATATGCAGGTTGGCCTCCTTGGCGAGGCCATAAAACCAAGACAATTTTTATCCATTCGAAGGGAGGTCCTCGTAAACAAAGCAGAAAATCTTGAGTCAGAAGATTCTGCCGTTTTTTTCTCTTTAGAACTCCTAATATCACGAAGAGTGCTGGTCAGTCTTTGAACCAAATTCTCTTTTCTAGTCTGTGATCCGGCGCCGTCTCGTCGTGAAGACGATTCACTGTTAGTCGCGTCTTGAGCAGATCCGCACTTAGAACAGCGGGGAGGGGCACAGAAGTTCCATTTTTGGGGAAACAGGCGGTATGTATTAAATGTCGACAGGGCAAAGTCACGAAAGTCTCCTCCATAATAGAAATTTCCCGAGAACGGCCACTATAAGCCAGAAGTTTTATCTTTTCCTGATTTTGAGAATTATTACCAAGGAAATGGGAAATACCTGAACCTAAAAGTCTGAAAGAATCGTTAATATCCATTTTTAAAAAGGTGCGTCGATTAGAAATTTATAAAAAATCAATCATATACACGATTTCTTCAAAATCTTTTTTCGCTGCCTTCTCTTTTTTCTCATTTCATTCGAAAAAAACAGATGAAATCCCTCAAAATCTAAATAAATAGATATACCTTTTTTAGGAAAGTGACCGCCTCTTATTTGTCTAGTCAAGTATCCCCTCTATTATCCGGTCAAGTGCCAAAGGGGAGTGGCCGCCTCCTATTTGACTTTTTTCTCATTTCATCATCTTTTTGCGAGCGAAAAAAAAACAAGAAAATAGAAAAAAAACAGGTTGATGATCAGCAAGGGAGGGGATAGGGGCACACAGTGCTTCTGGATCCGCGGTTCATTTTTCAAGGCAGACGTATCGAAGCAGTCAAATCGCAAGTGGATGGCCACCCCTATTTGTCCAGATAAAATGCTTCAGGATAAGCAGAGAAATTCAGAAATAAAGAAAATATATCCTTTTTTTTATCATCATTCCCATTTTTTATTATTCCTTCGGCTTTCATTCGCGCGATAGAACAAAAAAACGCTTACCCCGAGGCCTTACCCGATGCCCTATCCCGACGGCTACCCCGATGCCCTACCTCGACAACTATCCTGATGCCCTACCCTCTTTTTTCTCATAAATTCGAAAAAAGAGCGATTTTTTTCTCGGATTTTTTTTCTCATTACATTCGAAAAAAAACATATTTTATCTTCGAGTGATTTATCACTTGAAGACGATGAGAAAAAAGTAATTCGAAATCTCTTTTTCATTCCATCATTCGCAATGATCGAAGACATCGCTATTTTTGTCTCCTGTAATGCATTAGCTGAGGGATGGCTTGGTGTCGAAGAGCATCGTGGCTCAGCTCAACTTGCAATATAGTATGCCCACCTCGCTTTTTCATTTCACTGCCTTCGAGCGATTCCATCGCTCGAAGGCAAATATAGCGGATTTCCGAATATATTTTTTTGAATATAATGAGAAAAAAAGCGAAAAAACGAGGTGATTATCTCTCAATACTTATTTTCGGACTCTCAACCAGCCCCCACTCGACTCCACATCTTTTAGCATCCTTTTCGAGGCCACATTCTCTTTTTTTCCGCTATACTGGTCACTAGCATAGAAAATTTGTTTTATTCCAGCCTGGATGAGCAACTTAGCACATTCAGAACAGGGGAAAAGAGTGGTATACAAAACGGATCCCTGAGAGTGCTGGCGAGCATAGATCAAGGCATTGGCTTCGGTGTGGACCACATAAGGATATTTCGTTTTTAGCCAATCTGCATGATCCTTCCCCCAAGGATAATCATCGTCCCTACACCCTCTTGGAAGCCCATTATAGCCAGTGGAGACTATTTCCCGATTTTTATTAACTATCACCGCACCCATCCGGGTGTTGGGATCTTTACTCCGCAAAGAACAGACCTTCGCTATCATAATAAAATATTCCGACCAACTCAAATAATCTGTTCTTTTAGACATGGCCTTTTTTTTCTTACTCGAAAACAAATTAAATTTTTTAGTTTAAAAATATCTGACAATTCTTTATATTCATTGACACCACTATGCAGATATTCGTTAAGACCCTCACAGGCAAGAGCATCACTCTAGAAGTGGATGCCAACGACACCGTCAATAAAAGCAAAAATCACAGATAAGGAAGGGATTAAAGATGCTTGACGAAATGATTTTTGAGTTGACGAAAGGTTTCGTCAAATTATATACCAGACGAAACTTTGACGATTGACGAAATCATCGACGATTGACGAAACCGTTGACGATTGACGAAATTGTTGACAAAACTATAAATATATAAAAATAAAAAAAAAATTGCTCTATAAAAAGATAATGTATTGCTTTATTTATTATCTTTTTTAAACTTTTACATG